AACTTGTTTCTGTAGGTCTATGTAAATGATAGGAAGATAGTTTTACTCCAATGAAACTGTCAAATGCTCATGAAGTGACTCTTAGAGGGAGTCAGAGCAGTTCTGGAGATGTTGTTCATGTATTTATGTCCTCATGTAGTGATACGACAGAAGCTGAAATCACCGCGAGCGTCGCACACTTTGTATGTGTAGACAACAAAACCGCTCGTCTGTGCCATTTACATACACAGATACGCAGAACATGCTGGATTCATATTTAAATAGTATTTTTGCGGCTTAATATTTGCATATACTAGTCCATATTGCGACTCTATTTAAGTGTACTGACCTACTTTTGATTAATTCATCCAAACTTTGACAAATTCCGTGACATTCCGCGTCATACAGTAAATTCCATTTATATGACTGGATTCCGCGATTCCATCCGCGTTTTCTGCATCGCGGAAATCATAGATAATATTGAGGTGTTTTGCAACTTCAGTGCAACGTTAGTGGATTGGGATCTATTGCAACTTAAGCAACGTCTGCTGCTGCCTTACCTTTGAGAGACAACTGAAGCGTGATCACTGAAGCAGCTCAAGTTAGCAAGCGCTTGGAGTGAGAGTGAATTCTGCATTGATTGGTCGGACTCATGACTCCCAACAAATCAGATGAGCGGTGGGCGGAGACTGCTTTAGGCCACAGAGTGGCGAGTTCTGACAGGCTGCATCAGAGCCAAATAGCGCGTTTCAAAATTAAGTTATTTTATCGGCGAATCGGTTTTGAAAATGACCGATACGATAATCATAAAATGCTTAATATCGGCTCCGATAATTGGCCAGGCCGATAATCGGTCGACCCCTAGTTAAAAGGTCTTTTTTGTGTCTGTTTGATTTTTGTGTTTTGATGTGCCATTCACATCTCTTTCAGATGTGTAGTGATCAACAGTCCTGTCGATATAATTTAAATTTTTCCGTTCTAATACTCTGAAAGATCAGACTGAAATAAGTAGGGACCTTGTTAAAAATAATAACATCTAGCTCTTCATTTCTTACATTGGGATGCTGCAGGAGGACATGCAGAGCAGTAGGAGCTACACCAGTGTAGTAATAGTCAAGACCCGACTCTGACTCAACTCCATCTCAAGTTTGAGTCTAAGACAATGTTTTCAGGAATATCTGGACCCGTCCTGGACTCAGGCTCAAATGAGTTGGTCTCGACTAGTCATAGAAAATCTGATCTTGGACTTGAGACAGACTTTATTTAGTCTGGTCTTGTCCAATCTCGAGCATTATAACACTGCTACACACAGCCAGTTCTTCTGCTGAAGACTAATGGTATCTCTGCTGCTTTCTCATCACCCAATAGGACATTGGACATACTGATGTGTAAATGTTATGTTTATGTAGGTTAGTTTCAGTAAATGTGCTTTTTGCATCCAGTAGGAAGTTTTGAGTTCTGTAAATACAGTATATTTTCTTAAATAGGATGCACAGATATTCAAAATCTGGTTTTAAGATTTTGGCAGGTAACAGATAATTGGCCAGTATTAAAATTATATTCTGATTTATCTAAATGAATTGCAACACTAAAAACTAAAATCATTTGTTTCAAATCCTGCAAGTGAATTAATGCATCACAGCATGATAATGCACAGTATGATTAATTGATATTCATTTTGAGATTTGGTAAAAATTGCCTTTAACAATGTTATTTAATTAAAATAGTTATTACAATAATCATCCCATACGGATAAAAAAATCTCCAGTACCAACTGATAACTGATGTTGTTGGGTTGTGTTTGTTTTCATATTATATTAAACCCTTTTATCAAACCCCTTTAACAAACATTGATTGAATTAACAGGGCAACAGGACTACTGGAAGGTACTGAAACTGTACGGTAAAACTGTATCTATAAATTATTCCATGGCCAACAATGCTACTATAATGCAGTTAAGATGTTAATCACTAAATGGAAGAGCAGTGAGCTTGGTTAACAAATTACAAGTGTGTTTACACAGGGCCCTCAATCTCATTATACAGACACAGTGAGGTCATGATCAAGCCTGTGAACCGTCATGGCACATCAGGGTTGGAAATATTTATTTTATATGGTGATTCGTGAGATGGCACCTATTCGAAATCTTGTGTATCTGGAAGTCCACAAAGAGACTTTAAAACATAAACACCCCAAAAATATTTTGTTAGGGATTTGTTGTCAAACAAGCTATAAAAGATCCTCACTTCTGTTCCTAATTATCTTTGTGGTAAGTTAAAGTGGGAGGCAGACCTACCCGTTTTTCCAGAAATACCCAACAAGCAGCTTACAAATGAGTTGCACACCCTCCTCATGTGATGCAACCTTTAAGTTTCTTCCTGAAACACGTTTTAATCCTCTGCAAGCTGAGCGGAGACCTGAACCTCATATTTGACCTTTGTTGAATCTAGGCATACAATTAGGTCCATCAAATGGACATTGACATGATTTTTTATTTATTTATTTTTGCCAACTAGCACAGAAATGCTGATTCTGTCAAAGCTCTGGAATCTGTGTTTAACAAAGTGAATGGTGTTATCAGGTTATTTTTTTAATCCAATAATAATGGAATGCACAAAAACACTGATTGGACTTAATAAGGACATCAGCTGATAATATTACAGTATGATATTATATACAGTGCAGTGCAGAGCCGTTCATTCAGGGCTGTCATACTCTTATCAGTTTGATTGACAGTGCTGAATTTTTGGCCTTTCCTCCTAGTCATAAGCCCATTTAATGGTGACATCCAGGAGTTTTATTATTTATGTTGTATTTCCATAGTATGGTCTGTCAGTGGAGGCATCAAAGTACATCTTCCAGACTTCATCATGTAACAAGCACCTTATAAAGTTTTAAAGCTCTTTGACGCATGACTTCTCTCTGACCTCCTCATCTTCTTTCGTGTTTCTCCTTCTTCCTCCTGGCCTGATGCCTGACTCTACATGATCTCTAAATCAGAACCAGAGTCTTTCTCACCACTGAGCTATCAGCACTTATATTCAGAATGACAGTTCAACTTAATATGAACTAACCTGAAGCTAAAATTTCTATCACAAAAGATCAATGGAATTTGTTTCCAGAACTAAAAGGGAAGGGAATTATGATTTTATACATCTTTTTACTTGTTATTCTAACTTTATATGGCACACTGTGATTGTTATTTCTGGTAATTGTGACTTTTGTCTTCTAATTGTAATTTTATATCTCTCAGTGTGATTTTATCTCTCATAATTAGTAACTTTTCTCATGCAACCTTTTCTTAGAGTAGCTCTTTTATCAGCATCCTACATCACCTTAAAATGTTTTATAGCGCATGTTTGTTTTTGTAGGGCCCAAGAGTCCAGACATCTTCCCAGAAGTAGGTGAAGATGCAGTGAATGCAGTGCCCAGTTCACTAACTGAGGAAGAGCAAGCAGAACTCCACCGTGAACTAGCAAAGGTCAACATCCTTGAATTCTGTTATATTTCAGATTCCAGCCAAAAATACCACATTCAGTGGATGAGATTGCCTAAGGAGCAAGCGTGGTTTATTCTCAAGGCTGAAGTCATTTTGCAGTGCTTACTTTCTTCACTATTTCAACATATGCTGTATCTTCTAACTGGACCTTATGGATAAACCCATAAGTGAATTGATTTTTTTTTTTGAATGAGTGTCACCACACTTAACCATATTTTCCATGTCAGGTGAATTCTTCTATCCTGTTTCCCTACAGGTGGAAGATGAGATCCAGACTCTTTCTCAGGTGCTGGCGGCCAAAGAGAAGCAGGTGGCGGAGATCAAGCGGAAATTGGGCATCACTCTACTCAACGAGTTCAAACAGAACCTGAGCAAAGGCTGGCATGAAGTCACCACCTCCACTGCGTACGTGCCCTCACTCACCTCAGGCATCTGCGTGCCGCCTGCCACCTCTCGTACTGCTGCGGAGAAGCGGCTCCATCTGTCAATGCTTCTGCTGTGCAGTTCACACTTGACATTTGGCTGAATTGCATTAAAGACACACAGTTGTGAACATGCTTGATTTTACTAGCTCACTCCAGCTGTTAGAATTACATGATCTTGTGATTTCAAGTTATGTTGTATGTGTTCTGTACACATCTGTCCCCCATCTGTGCTGTACAGGTATAAGAAGACCTCCGAGACCCTGTCCCAAGTGGGTCAGAAGGCGACGACAGCGTTCTCCAGTGTGGGTTCAGCCATTAGCAGAAAGCTAGAGGACGTGAGGTGAGATGGGAAATTGAAGTCCTTGTCCAACTTATCCTTTGATCAAACTATCCTTTGTACCCTTTTGACCTAGTAACACATGAATGAATACTCCCTAATGCCTTTTAATAATGTCTGTTCCAAACCACTCTGGTTACATTCACACAGCAGCAGATTTATACAACCTTTATTTTACCAGCAATATAAAAACTCTTGAGATTTAAAATCTATTTTACCAGAGTGTCTTTGCCAAGCACAGGTAATGACACAAAGTAAGACCAAGCGGCAACCTTCCGGTCTCTCTCGTGAAACCAACACGGAAGTGACTAAAACTGCAATTCATCGACTGGCAGCAAGAGGCTGGCTCCAAAAGGGAGTCAATCCCATAGACTCCCCATGTTAAATTGCCCAACTTTACAGCAGAAAAAAATTTGTTTACAGCCTGGTACAAAAAGTGGTTTTGTTCTATATAGCTAAATTTGCCCTTCATGATAACTGTGAGGTGGGTGAATTTTTTTATAACTCATCCGTTTAAATGATATTAAGCCTTAAAGTTCTGCATAATTAAGGGCGTGGCCACTTGAGTGACAGGTGGATTGCCGCTGTTGTCACCGCCATCGAGCTGGGTGGGCGTGGTTTCAGCAACCAGCACCCGCCTCTTTGCCCATTTTCGATTATCTGGGAGTGATGTGCGGTGATGCGCTGCCAAGATGGCAATGGCCCACTCCGCCCACTTTGAGCTTCAAAAACGCTCTCCAGAAATCTACGGGTGACGTCACGGACACTACGTCCATGTTTTTATACAGTCTATGAGTAAGACACAATACATGAAAACAACAAAATTTAACATCACAGTCAACTCAAACAGCAGCTATAGTTATTGGTCGTAACATTTGTAATCACATAAACCAGATTTCAGATCATTTAAAATTAAATTAATTTAGTGAATACATTTAACAGTTGTGACTTTTTTTGAGTTCAAAATAGGGCTATGTTATACAGAGTGACTATAAAAATGGGAGATAATAATGCATTTAATAATCAAGGTGAATATTTGAAGGAGTCACAACTGCATTTTCATAGCAAAGTTTGGAGATTATGTATGTGTTCAGAGAATGAGCCAAAACTCCAGATAAATGTTGGGTGGAGATTTTGAACACACATCTGAGAGGATGCAGGAATTCTCCAAAACTCCACAGTGGTTAGAACACAAAACTAAACCCGTAAACGTCATTTACTCGAAACACAACTGAAGATATTTTAATGAAACCCGAGATATTTCTGTCCCTCAATTGAAAGTCTATTCTACCAAGACTTTGATGCTTAAAAAAGTTCTTAAAGACTTTGTAAACATAATCCATATGAATCAAACCTTTTAATCCAAGTTTTCAGAAGAGATACAATACAGGTTTTATTAAAAATATCTTTATTTGTGTTCCGAAGATGAAGATCTTACTGGTTTGGAACAACATGAGAGTGAGTAAATGATGACTCTGAAGACACAACTGAACATTTTGATATTTGCCATCATTCTGTCACTATGTTCACAGCATTATGTGAGGTTGATCATACAGACAGTATTCAGTCCACTATGTCTTCTGTAGGACATGTTGAGAGTCAAATGCATTCGTCAATCCCAAACACAGACTGTGTGAACGTAGCCATTGTGAGCACCACTTACACATACAGGTGCATCTCAATAAATTAGAATGTCATGGAAAAGTTCATTTATTTCAGTAATTCAACTCAAATTGTGAAACTCGTGTATGAAATAAACTCAATGCACACGGACTGAATTAGTTTAAGTCTTTGGTTCTTTTAATTGTGATGATTTTGGCTCACATTTAACAAAAACCCACCAATTCACTATCTCAGTGCATTTAATTTATTTAATACATGAGTTTCACAATTTGAGTTGAATTACTGAAATAAATGAACTTTTCCATGACATTCTAATTTATTGAGATGCACCTGTACATGTGCCTTTAGCATAACAACACTACTGGACAAAATGGCAAAGGACTGAATTTTACTCCCACGCACAGTGGAATTACCAAAATTGGTAGAATAAAACCATTAACCACAGACACCCACATCATACTCTGAAGTCAAAGGAACTGACATTTGCTCAATTTCACCATCTTACGACACTCTTGCTGCAACGCTAGCAACATTGTTAACCGTTTTCGCTAATGACACCTCTGCCATTTACAGATTACAGTCATTTTCCAATTCTTTTGGGTAAGACTGTTTACAGTGGCTTCAAACAAAAGCCGGTTATTTTGGCTGCTACACCTCTCGGTAGTGTGATGAATGGGTTTATAGTGTGGCATGTACTTGGAGGTAGTGCTAGTCTCCCATTTCTTCCACTTTGTTTCAGTGCATGCATACCTTTTCTTCTTAAACCTTTGCTTGAATGCGTGAATGTACGTGTTGAATGGATATTTGCTATTCAGACTTTTTGAGGATTTTTGTTTTAAAATAGGTCACCCGAAAATGAAAATTGTCATCATTTACTCCAGACTAATTTGACTTTTTATTCTGCTGAATACAAAAGAAGATATTTCTGTAAAAGTCCAAAACGACATTTGACCTCATTGACATTGTATGGACAAAACCCCCCCCACAAAATATCATCTTTTGTGTTCAGCAGATGAACGGTCATACAGGTTTGGAGTAAAGGATGGCTATTTTCATTTTGGGTGGACTATTCCTGTACCTTAGAAGCTAAGTGTTATACTTTTAAGAAATTGATTTTTTTCCTTTTGAGTCAAAAAGATTTCCCATGTCTTATGCAAAGACGTGTTTTCTGATTTTCCTCCTGCTCTTTGCCTAAAAAGCAGCATAATTTCTCATTATTCTTCATTGTGTATGTGCTCGTGTCCCACACAAATCTATCGATCTTCTAGCTGTCACTCTGCTGAACATATCAACCCTGTGACAGTGATGCAGACGTGCTTAAACCCAGTTTATTCCCTGCTAATTCTCTCACACACCCCATTCATCCAGACTGGGCGTCCCAGCTGTGGTGTGAATCTGTCAGTAATACCGGTAATATAGTCTGAAACCCCTGATGGATTAAAGCCTTATACTCTTACTCAATTTCACACAGCATGAAGGGCTGAGGTGCTTTTTCATGCTGATTATGAACTCATAGACGTGTGTAGGTGCATGGCTTTATTTGCCCTCTTGTAATACTCGCTTTGGCTAACTCCCATCTGCTCTTCTTTACTGCTGATGGGATAGTATACGCTCCATACAGCATTCGGCTAGCATGCCGGTGATGAGGTAAGAATTTGTTGTGACAGACCCACATTAGCCTCTGTATTGCACAGGAATGCTTGATTCTGATTGGTCAGTTGTGGCATTCTGTGGTCAAATATTGTTGTATAATGACTGTTGTCCCTGGCAACTGATGCTAGTTTTGTCTCACTTTTTTCTCACATTTTAAAATTAATACATCTTAAGCAAATATTTCTTGTTGATTTATTCATTACAAGAGATTCATCAATGTCCACAGTTCATTGTAGTAGTCTTGTGTTTAGCATGTTGCTAAGCTAACTCTTCAAATAAGTGTTAAAAAGAAAAGAAAATGTTAATTTGACAGAAATATTTTCTCTAAGTTTTCAGTACTGATTAAAATATATCTATAATCAATGTTTGCTAGCTTGCTAGGTTTTGGAGCACAGCTATAGAAGATGAATTAGCAAAAACAAAAACTTTGATATACCGACACACTTTTTGCACCATATTGATCAGGGCTTTTGCACTCTGTCCTGCAGAGTTTAGTTCCAACCTTAATCAAACACACCTGAACAAGCTAATCAATGTCTTCAAGATCACTAGAAAGCTACAGGCAGGTGTGTTTGATTAGGGTTGGAGCCTCCAGGACCGAAGTTGCCCAGCCCTGATATTGATTGTGAAATGATTGTCTGTTTTACATCATTATCATGTCTCTTGCAGAAACACACCCACCTTCAAGTCATTTGAGGAGAAAGTGGAAACCATAAAGGTAAAGCAACACTGATAATATCAACACTGTGCATGTGATTTGAAAATGCTAAAAACCCTGACTTCATTTCTGACTTTGCAGACCAAGATGAACCCGACACCATCAACAGGCGATACCGAAGAGGTTTCAGAATCCACACCTGACGGAAAGCCAGTGGTTGAACAGCCAGCGGGAACGTGTCCACCAGATCAAAAACCGCACTGAGGATCCACCCTCAAACGCTCCCCACTTCTTTCTTTTTACCTCCTGTCCCCCTTTTTCATTCCACTGTGGTACTTCTACATGGTCACAGTGAGCTTTGTTTTGTGGCCATATTTGTCCACTGAAGTCTGGGTCATCTCCAGACGGGACATGGTAGTCCTACACTGGAGCAGATGTGTCAGAATGTGAGATGTATGTTCACTCGTGCACTGTCAGAGCATTACACTAGAGCATTGACCTTCGACCCCTAGTTTCAGGTCTGTGTTGTTTTAGCCTCTTGAGAGGCTCAGGCTGTCCTTTAGAAGTCCCTAAACATTTATTTTTACACTTTTGAAGAATATATCCTTAAGTCATTATATGAAGTTTAAATATGTAATTGAATTTGACTTCTTGTTTGTGTACATTCTCTGTTAGCACATCTAGCTACTTAAAATTGCCAGCCAAATTAACCAAATTTCTCTGTGGAGTTCATTTTCCGTTTTTAAAACAAATGCCAAAAACTTCTCTCTAAGTGTGTACTATGAACTAAAAGATTTTTGCATAGAAAGTTTATTGATTGTATTATTAGCATTAATACCAAATATGATCAAACAGTAGTGATGTTACACTATCTCATTACTCTTTTTCTATATTTTGGATTCTTGATTTAGCTTTAGAGAGTTTGTGTCATAAAATGAGCAGACTTGAGTTAACAATGTGCTTTGTGACTTTATTTCTCTTTGTTTTTATGCCGTTAGTATAGTCGCACCACTGAGATCCCAGTGCCTTCTGTTGTTAAAACTGGGGAGGTTTAATCTCACTTTAAGGATGTTTCTGATGACTTTGTAATTTGACCACTGCTGTAGTTTTTTTCTTTTCTTTCAGAAAACAGGACATACTATGAGAGGGACAGATGTCATAGTCTCCTAGACTACACTTCTTCCCTGTTGTTTTAAACTGTCTAACACAGCTGAAAAGCAGTTAAACAATTAGCTTTAGATCCAGTGCAACTCCATAATATTTACACTTATAATTACTAAATCTAGTATTGTTTGTGTAGTTCATGGAGCCGCTTACACTGTAGTACCTGCTGTTGTGGCATCTTCAAGACTGCAAAATTAAAAAAGTATATTTTTATTGATATTGTTAGCAGAGTTTCTGAACTGTAGATGAAATGTAACATTTATGATATGGTAGTGGTTGCTAAAGGCTTTGGAGTGCAGGGGTTTCTGCTTGTGCATATTTAGATGGAACTTTACGGGCAGATGTGTTCTCATATGGTAATATTTAATTATTGGCTCGTGTACTTTTCTGCTTTCTGCTATGCTGCTGCAAGAAATATTCATATAGAATAGGAATAAAAACGTTTACAGAGGTTTAGATTCAGTATGTTTGATCTATTACTCTAGATCTAGTGTTGATATCCATAATAAAATAATACTAATGTAGAAAATATTGAGTATTAAGAGTTTTCTGTTTAAAACAATGTTTTATGTGTGTTTTGTGTTGACAATAAATGGAGGGTGGAAATCCCCAGTGGGATCAAAACATTTTTTTATTTATCCCCCTTCTGCCTCACTGAAGTCATACTGCAGCTCAGGTGGTGTTTATTTCATCTTTCCTCACATCTTTTGAATATGAATGTTGCTTTATAGTGAATGTCTCTAATAGGCTTCTGTCTTAGGTTACAGTTGTGGTAGTTGAATCTGCTGTTATGTTCATTTATAATTAGCATCCTGAAACACTAGAACTACTTTGAGTAAAAAAATATATATTTTGAAACATTCATTCCTTTGTATGTCTGATGCCTAATAAAGCACATTACGCGCTGTTTTTGTCCAGAAGTCATTTTTCGAAATGTTGCAGCAAGTCAGTGCAGCTGTATTCCAGCGACAGAACACTAGATGGCACACTAACGTTCACTTTCTCAAGGTGACTTATACACGTCAATGTAATTGTTTGATGTAGGAGAAAAATGACTTAATTTAACAAAATAGTTATTAGGGCTGTCAATATTTGTTATTAAATTATGATGTACTGTATGTAAATGAGTCGTTATAAAATTATTGGCTGAGAAAACAGACTTGAAGAAAATTAAGACATTACATTATTGTCATATATCTGAATATATAAAGTGGCTCTAGAATGTTTTCAAGCCAATTTCTGGCCTACAGTGCTCAGGAATGCATTCAACAGGACGTGTTCTTGTAGTCCGTTAACATGCTAAATTCACGTTTTTTTTTTAGCATTTTTACAGAATGTGGGGTAAAAAAAATGTTTTATTAAACGTATGGAAATCTATTATTAGCTCAACCCGTTTCCCAGTCGTTAGACTTATACATAATATCCTAAAGGCTATTTTAATTAGTCTACCATAGGGTCTGCACACTCCAAAACATGAAAGCTTTGTGTGCTTTTCTTTTCTGTGTTTCTAAACACAAGTCTGACCTAAGGCTGTTAATTAGCTCTTAACAATTCAGTCTGCAACCTATTATAATCAAGCCCAGTTTCTGGAATAAACACATTACGCCATGTTATAATTGGATTAGTAAACACACACCAGATATTGTATAGTAAACAGCTGCCGAAAAAAATCTTTTTATTTTTTCCATGACCATTAACCAGGAGCTCATATGAACACAGGCACCTTGGAAATGTCTTAACACCAAAGAAAACAACAACAGCGGCACCAACGAGCACCAGAACATTATCACCGTAGCACAATTACAATGGCAGTTTCTATTTACACACAGCTCAGAGTAAAAACTAGTACAGCCAGCGAGACAGATCATAATAACAGTCACCAAGAGTTTTCGCCCTCAGAAGGAAGGGAGATTAAAATCTATTGAACTTTGGGAAAAGAAACAAAACGGTGCAATTAGACAAACATTATAAGACATTGTACATAAAGCAAGTGCTTCCAGTTAATGTATTGCGATATTTTATCAAGTCCAGATACTGAAATATCATCATCTCCCTCTATGGCCATATATCCAGACTAGTGAGTTAATGCGAGAAGTGTAAAAAAAATTACTTCTTTCCGTCTATTATGAGTTATATTTGTCAGGTGTTGCCGCGTGAACCTGTGCACTAACACATACAATTGCATAATTGGGTGAACACAGAAACTCACAATGACAAAATATAGTGGCACTAAGCCTTAAAAATATCCTCTAATTAAGGCCCTCGTTTCTGCTGATACTTGACACCGTTTAACAATAGGGCTACATTTGTATTCATTCCATTATATTTAAATGTTGCCGGCTAACAGCCTTCAGCAGCAAGAAAACCCTCTGAACCCGTGAAACCTGCGCCTCGGATCGTTCTGCACTGCATTATGATGGGTTTAGATGAAAAGCTCGAGGGAGCCCGTGAGAGGCTGAAGCCCCGCGGGAACGAACCTAACGGCGGGAAACGTCTCTGCGACGCACTCAGCTCGACCTGGCGTCTGACGTCTGTGTTAAACCCAGGATGAACTCTTATTAATGTTGCAAGAGGCCGCTCATTTATCTCATCGCCTCAGATACAGGTCAGTGTGTGTCAGGGGACATCTACATCACTTTACCGTTCACACGGAATGCGGGAGGAATAGAAAATAACGGATGTAGTCGCGACGCCATTTTGAATCATTTTCCAAAGGAAAAATTTGCTACACTGACGCTCTTTTCTTTTAACATTTGCTGGGCTTTTCTTTTCTCACGTTCTTGAACGCCACAACCACTTAAGCGTGAATGGCCCTTAAATGTGCAGTCACATTTAGCTTTGTACGGTGAAATTCCGGGGGCAAAATGCAGGCATTTCAATAGCAACCCAAGCGTTTAGGAATTTTGTGTGAAGGGGAAAAATTTCCTCTTAACGGATTTTACATCAGATTCGAGTTTGTTGAACTGTTAACACTGAAATTTGCCGCATTTACCCATAATGCTGCTTAGTTTGGAATTGACCTCTGAGTTAAAGGCACTTTTGACAACGGACCTACTTTGCCCGCAACAATTCAGCCGGTTTTGCAAATGTGAACGCATCTTAGCGGTGGATTAATAAAACTTTAGTTGTACACATTATTGTGCCTTAATTTTATGTTGTGACATTTATACAGCTTATTTGTTATTTGCTGTGATATGTCTAATTTGAAAAAAAAAAATTTCTTGATTTTGAACCTTTCATAATTTCAATTGTAGGCCTAATCCTCAGTTCGTTAGTGTTAATGTCACGAAGTTATATGCATAATATGGTACAATCAAGTTACAATTCACTTTTTGAAAACCTGCCAATGTCAAGGGTGTCCCTTTTCAGAATATTTTCATTTATAAGCATATAAATATACCATCCATTTATTCATAGCCACATTCATAGCTATTGCTTGTACATTAAAATAAGTCCCCCCATCAATGACTTTATCCCTCACATTGGCATAGAGACATCAACTACCTTCCTCAATGAACAGCTTCAATATACATATAGTCAGTGTGCAATAATGAATAATACACAGTTTTTGAATATAGTCTAGACATTGCTTACTGGTCAAAATAATTTTGGTAAATGGCATGGGTCACCCAAACACCTCTTTTCCTTTATGGCTTTACAACTCGACTGCTGCATTATTATTATTATTTTTTCTGCTAGCAGTGGCATGGAAAGATGAAGACATCCTGAGTTTTCCCTTTTTCTCTTTACACAGTAGACTTCCATCATGTGCACAGGGCATCAGATGCCCGTTCTTAACATCAAACAATACTTATAAAATCAGGAATGTCAAAAGATCAGACAATGGGACAGACATGTGTGAACTAAAAACAAAAAGCACAGTTTGGGCTGACTACATTTGGTCTTTGAGGTGAACTGATCCTCTCTTTTAGATCATTTCGAAGTGCTTATGTAGTATCCGTCAGGCGTTTGTTATTATCACCTGTGCTACGATGGTCAGAAGCTGGTTGTTTTATCATCAGCATCTGTTTGATTTTATGGCAGTCCCCCTCCTCTCAATGGACTATAAAATCACTAGATATGAGCACATGCTGCTAAGTATAGAACAGGTCTAAGAAGAAGCCACACACATTTGGCTTTCGGCCCAGACCCAGTGGAATGACTGCAGAATGTGGCAGTTTCTATCAGCGCTTCAGCCAATCAGACTCAGGAAAAAAAAGAGTCTAAAGAGATTTTACCTGGAACACAAAAAATAAATGTTTTGAAGAATGTTCATGCTGCTCTTTTCCATACAGAACAGCTTATAGCAGTGGTTCTCAACGTTTTTGTTTTAGGCCCCATTATCCACAATAGTTTTTTTTTGGGTGGGGGGCTTTGTTTCAGAACATAGCATGAAAATGGGCGACTATGAAAAGATGCTGAAATCACATGATGAAAATACATTTTCAGAGGAAGTGGATTTTGCAAGTAATTCCTATAGTAACAGCAGCCTGCCTGCCCTGTGCCTGTTTTTACAGATAAAACATCACAAACAACACATTCATACATTCAGATCATATTTTTTTGTTTCTATTCTTCAGCATGCACATGCAGTATTAAAAAATACAGTTAGATCAGCAAATACTTGAAAAAGTGTAAAAATCCAGTGAGACAGTCTTTGAGTTCTTGAGGTTAACATGGTTCTTGATTGACAAAGGTCAGCAGTGAGATAATCCATTCAGAGCGCTGAGCCTACATTCCTATGGTGTCTTTTGGCATCTTATTTTCAAGATGTAAAGCAACTTGTTTAGAATTTTTTGTTTTTTTTTGCTGACAACAGCAAGGCTTGAGACTGAAATGTGTCACATTACGTCCTGCTTATTCTCTTTGAGATCCTTTGCGATAGGGCTGCATGATTAATCAAAATAAAACCAAAATCGTAAGATGGCATAATACAATAATTAAATCACAAAGGCTGTTTTTTTTTCCCCAAATCATGCAGGCCTACTTTGAGAGACATGATGGAAAGCATAAATCAATATCTGGATCCAGCCAAGCTTGCGATTCATAATGCTAAGATCTTCTGTGCATGGTCCTATCTGTTAGGCTAGAGTTGTAGTCTCTGACAATAATGGATGATCTCACTGTATAAGCATCTTGTAAGAAAAACACTCCCCAGTCCTTAAAACACAGCCGTATTCAACAAACCTCTGTTTAAAATGTTGATTAAACGTTTCCTGCTGCATTTCCAAAACTGGAGATGAAAACAAGAAGCCAAAAACAACGATATTGTAGCTAAAAATCATTTACAAAGCACAACCGGGAAAAGACACCCCCCACCCCCAAGCTTCAAATTCATCAAAAGGCTCTTTGAGCAGAAAAAAAAGCAAGAGCTAGTCCTCAAATCAGTAAAAAAGGGTCCTCCACTCCCACACGTTTAAATCCAGACGAAATGTTGAACTCAGACAAGCCGACACCAGAAACATTCCTTTGCTTTTCTGTGCATCTCCACGCACAATCTCAGACCTCACCAAGGCACAGTCAGACTCCTACATATCCTCATACAAATACATTCCTGAAAGCGGTCAGAGGGACTGGCCCCCTCCACGGAAAACAAAAACAAAACCTCTCAGGGCCCCTTTCCGCCTAGGACAGACATGACCTGATCATGTACCATGGGAACCCGGCAGCTATTTTATCGGTAGTATGCATTGCAAAATGCCAATACTGTCAAATGACAGCAGTGATTATAAGCCCTCTAAGAGAGAGTTAGTTCCATCCTGATGATGCGGTTTCGTAACAAAAAGATTTAAATGTGCAGTCTGGAATGTTCGTCTCGACTACAGCCTTTTTTTTTTTTGCAGACTCAGTCCCATCAACGGCCTCTACTCATTCTTGCTGCTTGTGGCTCGACACAAACACACAACTTATGTAAGTAGACTACTGAGTGGCCCATCTGCCATCTGGCAGACAAACGATTCAGTCTACGCAAAGACAATCAGATTGGGTCAGTCTGACATGGGATATGCACACCCACTCTAAACATCTGCACAGATCCAACACTAATACCAACCAAAGACATATGTGTATCTGATTAACATCGCACTTTCAGATTTTCCTCACATCAGTGCGTGGGAAAAAACATGGCACTGTCTTTTAAATCGGCTAAACTAGCATGTTAAACTCTGGACCTGGTGAAAGTTCAGAACAGGAAGCATCTTAATATGTTCCCTAGGATCTGTACACCGGTGTTGTTAAAGTAGCTTAGAATATGGATCAAAACAGTTACACATTTTGAGTAATATAATAGTATTATTAGTTATTGTTAATTACCTATACGGTATGTTTACACAGAACCAGAGAAGACTACTTAGGCTAAAGACAGCTAACACCTCAGCGTCCTACTGAATCTGAACAATGAAAGCTTAGTACTGCGTTACTATGAGACGTGGACCAAGATAGCTTTCATGAGCAGCACTAGTCCTAAATACTGTATACCAGGTAGCTTATATAGGTATTGTAGGTACATTATACTGTTTAACCTGTGAACAAAGTTGGCGATAAAGAAAGTAAATAGTGAAAAGACGACATACTCATGTTGCAGCTTGATATGCACCGTGTCTGTTAAATTTCACACTGTACAACAAAAGGGCTGTGCACAAGTAAACTAGCATCCCTAATGAACACGAGTAATGCGCCGTGGTCTAGCTAACAAAACTGCAGCCAATACATAAGCACCATGGTGACAGGTGTGTGAAACATCATTAGAAACCAAATGCACCGTGATCTTAACTTCACTTAACAGCTTATCCGAGGCAAGAGCACATTTTTAAGTAACTTTTAGGTACCATTTAGAAATATATTCCCAAAACCCATTCCTAAAGGTCTCAATTGTAGGAAACGTGATGGAAGGAGTTTCCCCAAGTATATACTGAGTGTAAACAACTGTAGACATCAGCTTGCCCTCTTACGTAAAACGCCTGTGAGATCTCTCAGACCCTTTGGTCTAAAATAGCACCAGGAAGGGAATGGAGAGACAAGCAGCAGCCTCTGAGATGTTCCTCACACCAGCGGAGGGGCCAAAATATGCAGCTTTTAATTATTAAAACTCATTTTCATCTCTGGCATGAGATCACAAAAAGTTTCAATAAACATTGGAGTAGAATTGGAGTGCTAGAGCCCTTGGGTGCTGGTGTGTGGCTTCAGCATAGCTGTGCTTTCACAAACGGCTTGCCTCCAGTCATACGGAAAATGCACGGTCCTGGAGACCTTTTACATGCAAGATCTGTTGAATCGTGTCAACAGAATGGGAGAAAAAAGGAAAATTATAGATCAAAACGCAGAAACAGTCATGAACTCTTGATTGTTGTTGTTTTTTTTCCTCTTGTCTATTAAGACACTAAACCAATGGGAGTTTTTTGGAGATGTGATTTAAATGCATATTTATTGACATGGATTTGAATTATAGATTCACATTTAAAATGCTCTTAGTTTTTTTCCGTTGGTCTAGTATCTGGCTTTATTCACACAGGCAGCGAAAAACCTTTTTTTTCATGAAAGGCCACATAAAACAAACCAGATCCAAACCACATCCATTTGTGGCATGAAATGAGATGAAAATCCATTTTTCGCCATATTGGGTTTTTTGTAGTCAGAACTGCAAAAGACAACATGAAATCTGATGTTTATGGACTAGATCCAAACCACATCCATAACAGGTGTGAAATCAGATTAAATCATATTTCTTTAATGCATCTTAGTGTAAATGGTCAAATCAGGTTCCAAGTAGTCTACTGTACTTTTAGATGTTTGTGAGCCTCTTTCATCTCTTGTCAGGGTGATGGTTATAGCATTCCTAAATAACCCATGTAGATAACACAGGATATTGACTACATTGTGCAAACAAATGGATCTAATAATTGAAATCGGATTTGAAACCTGATTTGTGTGCAGTGTGAACAAAGCCTTACTTTATTCTTCCAATAAAACCAAGTGTTACTCTGGGCATTCAATACTATATATCTTACCTATATACACATATTGATAGTAAGTGAAAGGGGAACCATGTGATGAACAAAACAGATACAGACAATGAGCTGATCGCAATAAGCACTCTTTGCATGTATATGATGAGTTAATTAGCTTGTGTTGATGTTATATAGACAATATCATATTAGACTATCAGAGCCACCAAAAAAGTGCCAGATAACAATTGCCAACCGAGCTGCCGTATTCCTTGTGAGCCAAACCAAGTGTCAACGTCCCAGAACTTAACAATTTTCATTCCATCCTGGTCACCCTTTGCAAAGAAGCCCATCGTGAAAAGATGTCCATCCTCCTCTGACCAATGTTCTGCCGTGTTACACAATACTGTACCAACTACTGAAGAATAACAAAACCACATCTGAGTGCTTCCAGCTCCTGTGCTGGAGTAGATGTGGCATTTGCTATTTTTATGACTTCCTACTTGAACCTGTGAGGTCAGGAAAAAGGTGAGAGGTAAAGAGCTCTTCACCTTTCAGAAGTAAAATTAACCACTTTGCAGAGTTTTCTTTACCTTTACCTCTCTAGGCAACAGACTGTGGCGTGAAAACACAGCGGGTTCATATATGGCTCTAATATGAATGCAGTTCATTCCTGCTGATGGAGTCCTATGGGAAGGAGAGGTTGTGTTGCCTGAATGACTGTTTTTTGCGATCGCTAACTTTGATGCGAGTCTGTCCCATTGGGTTTTAATGATCGCATTTTTTGTACTTCGTTCTGTTGAAGTCAGTTGCACAAAAAGCAAAAAAAAAAAAAAAGAAAAGGGAAATGGCACATAAAAAAAACATTTTTGGTAGCAAGATATTCCTGTGACAAAAAGCACTGAGTTCTTTGCTGTTAAATCTAACTGCTGGTTTTGCTTTTACTGATTGCATCCCTGAAAGAAATGTCCTATTGGTAAACGCAAATATAAAACCAGAGATATAAAATCTGTCCTTTGTAGGTGCAATTGCTTGTGTCAGCACGGCTGAAAGGGGGAGCTGAAAGTCCTTCTCTTCCCATACTTTTTTTTTGTTTTTTTTTGCATTGATGAATTTCCATTCAGGAGAGCCGTCCAGTCAACATCCTAAAACAAACCCCTGTGGTGGTACATTCTTGAGAAGACAGGGTTTTCTGGCTGTCCAACCCTTAACCTTTAATAAAATGGGCAGGAGAAATGCAAAAAAGTGCCCATGGAAAAAGAAACACTTTCTCCAGTTGTGTTTTATAGCATTTACAAAGTCTGAAAGAGAGCTTTCTTCTCTTTTAAAAAGAGCAAGGGCAGAGGCTGGTCTTGCCCTGGCTGGTCCTTTAGGAACTGAAAAAAAAGGCAGTATACTGAACACAAACAAAAAGAGATGGATCACAAGTCTTTTGTTTTATTTTTTGCAGTGTAAAGCAACTCTCCTCAGTTGGTTTTGGAGGGAATGCATAAGGGTTTGACCCTCGAAGTCCACGTGGGTTTAAGGTGAAGCAGGGTGGGGCTGTGGTCAGCAACAAAGAGAAGGGATGTATTTCATTATGCTATGCATGCAAAGGAAGCCCACCCTGTTTTTGTGTTTAAGCCGTCACAGCTGTTTCAGTCAACAAATCTCTGGCAGGCTTTCTTCCAGCGGCAGGCCGTGCACCACATGTCTCTGTTTTCCATGCCGTACACCTTACGACACTTCTTTCCCTCGCCTCGTGACTTCCTACTGCGCAGCACATGAAAAAACACAAAAACGGTTTTACAAAAAATGTTCAACATATAAAAGCAAATATTATTTAAAAAAAAAAAAAAAAGTACTTCCATAATAACAATTTGGTTGAATAATTAGTTGTTGCTGGATCTTATTGTGCCACATCTGGAGCTCAAGGCAAGTTCATTTGAAGCTTGTGATTTTCAAGTAAGACATGGATAATGTGATTTCAAAATCATGATCATAGGGGAATAATAGAGATTTTTTGAGGTCTCTGATATGACTGGAATTATTTAATGTGAGTGTACATTGTGTACACTGTAATCTAAATGTAAAAATAGAGAAATAGAGATAATTAAATATACAATATCAACCAATTGCGATAAGTTAAAAAAATTATCTAATATTGGATAACCAATATGGTACCTTCCAGTATCTGAGTATGATCATACTGCCTATTAACACAACACCACTGGGTTTACGGACTTTTCACATGCTTCTGGCATCATACCAAGTAAGCAGAGACCAGAACTTATTGATAATTGTACTTTACCACACTACATAAAAAGGGTTTATGATGTGCAAATAGATTCTTACATCTGGACGCCCATAAAAATTTGAAGAATGTCCTTTACGGGAGCCACACCTCCAGCATTCGTCAAGTCTAACCATTTTACAGAGCCATTTTAAAGGGGTCATATGATGCAATTTCATTTTTTCCTTTCTCTTTGGAGTGTTAAAAGCTCTTGGTGCATAAAGAAGATCTGTAAAGTTGCAAAGACTAAAGTCTCAAATCCAAAGAGATATTCTTTATAAAAGTTAAGAGTCAGCCACACCCCCCTAAAACGGCTCGTTCGAACACGCCCCCACATATCTACCTCACTATGTGGGAAGACATCATATGACCCCTTTAAAGTACTATGTTCATTCCTTGAGGTGTAAAACTCTTAATTTAAGACTGAAAGGAAGTGTAGTTAAGACTGTACCTGAATGAGCTTGCGGCTCTGGGGGGAGACGAGAGCACTGCAATGGTTTGAGAGCGCTGCTCCCCAAAGCCCTGCGTCCGGCTGTGAGTGGGAGAGGCCTGCAGTCAGACGGAGAGAGATTTAACATCCCTCACACAAGGCCAAAGACATCATTCATCCATTTCCGGTCATAAAAATCTCAAAGCACAATTTATAGAGACACTGAGCACTGTTTAGCCTGTTTTGTGAGCGTTTGTGCATTCGGTTATGTATCAGTGTTGAGATTTGTGTTTGTCAGACTGACTCACATCTCACAGTTGTGTTTGCACATTTGATTTACCTGACATCACTGTCATCAAATGAGAGGCCAAACTGTGGTAGATCAGGAGGCAATTATGAGACACGATCGGTCAGGACTCTATTGTGTGTGTGTGTGTGTGTGTGTGTGTATAAAGGGACAGCCTAATGCAAGGCACACTGGAGTTCAGTGTGTGCATGTGTGTGATGGGCACAGGAGCGTGTGAGTGTGTGTGTGTACTCACATAGGTGCCAGTAAAAGTGACGGGTGGGGACTGCCAGGAGATACTGAAACTGCTGCTGGAGGGGGTGAAGCCAGTGGAGCTGGTGGAGGGGATGGTGACAGGGGCTGTGGCCTGTGGAGTGACAGTCACACTGATATACTGTAGTCTCTATGGGCCCGCGATTATGATTGGGCTGCATGTATATAATAACCATTTTGACAGCATCTAATATTTAAAAAATGGGCTTTCCTTTATTATATTATTTTATATTATATTATATTCAGGGACTGAAATTAACACCCGCCAAATGCGGGTCAAAATCAGCTATGGCGGGTGACGTTGTCAAATCACTATAGCCAATTTGGCAGGTTACTTTTCTTCACTCATTAAATTGTTGGGGAAGTTAATGTAAGCCAAATCTGCGCAGATTTAGTGCAAATACTGAACTCGTGAGTCATCATGATTTATTAAATACAGCCTAATTGCGCAGCATCTGCGCATACCTAGCTTACTTGAACATACCACTCGCTACGCAACAAATAATAATTGGCGCACGAAGACTCAAAAAATGACTGAAAACTCAGACACTGTGATTTTCTTACTGTCCAGCTGAACTCTCCTAATATCATGCAATTTGATCCCACCAACATCTTAAATTCAGTTAAATCAAATTTAAGGCCATAAAAGTCTTAAATGGTACAACAAAGCCTTAATTATTATTTCAAGAGGGCGTAAATTTGGGGACGGAAAGACAAGAATTGCAAAATAGCTTAATGTGAAGATTAAACTTCAAAAGGCTGTGATTTCATTGAATAAATATGAGCGCTGCACGAAATCTGCATTTTCAATAAGCCCTTCTGCTGTTTTTGTGCAGACCATTGCGAAAATCGACCCATATTTTTACGCAGCAAACACTGTAAATGTGAACCGGTTGATCGACAAGAAGCTAATGCTAATGCATTTTAAAAATCTAACCAATTAAGAAATCAATATACAGTGGGTACGGAAAGTATTCAGACCCCCTTCAATTTTTCAGTCTTTGTTATATTGCAGCCATTTGCTAAAATCATTTAAGTTAATTTTTTT